TCTGAAATAAAGGGTGGCCAACAGTTCTGATATATCAAATTCGTTTTAGCATCATTGATATATAATATGAATTACTACGATTATAACGGAAAAAAAATCATCATTGAATCTAAGCAGGTTTGGCATACTCATGTGTTATACGATAGCCTCTTCAACTATCTTCCACGGTCCAGAAATTGGTTTCGCAAGTTTAAAAACGATATAATTAAAAATAAGATAGGCAGATTATCATCAACAGCATTTTGCAATGCATTTCCATTGAGATTGTTTCTACAGCAATCGAAATGCTTTGCAATTGGTATTGATGATAATGGTTTATATCTTTTTTTGATTGTTAAGTACTGAAGAAAGATTCTTGGAAATCAAAATAAGCCCCAAAAGTGGCGGAACTTCTCCGACAGTCTAATTAATATTACAATTGATATGGGATTTTGAATACTTAACTCAATATCTGAAGTAATTAGCTAAATGTTTTTCAAACAGAAGTATAGTGGCCGCAAGGATAAACCTTCCAAAGTTTTTCGGATGTGCCATACGACACTTTGATCAAAGAGCAACGAACACTTGGTCTATCACATGCTAGCAAATGTCCTTTACTATTATCAGCATTAAAATTTCAACTTTCAAATTTTGCTGATTTTTATTCTTAAGATTGCACTTACTGTAGCGTACAAATTGTCATCTTCTTGCAACTTTGTGTTCTTCAATCCTTAATCTTTGCAAAGCGTAAGGCAATGATTGATATGACCCAGTCAAAAGTTCTCGACCTTGCCTTTTACGCTCATTCTCATCATTGCAATTTACGAAAAGAAACGTGTGCTAACTCATCTGGCTTGGAGTAAATGATTACCTTCTAATTGCAACCGGCTATGATGTAATCCTTCATAACATTATTTACATTAGTTAAAACAATGACGACTATGTAGAAGGAACAAATACTCGTTCAGCAAATTTTGTAATACTTTTGAAAGTTCAACTTATAATTAAACGTTAAATATCACTGTCTAGGGTGGTTCTCATGTACTTTACTTGTGGTAAATCTATTTATTCTTCAAATCGGGCCCCGAGTGATAAGTCAAACCATTCATCTAAGTTAACTCAAGGTTCCTCTGTTCAGATACTTCTCATATTTTTCTTAACTTCTCTTATGTACTTCAAAGAGTACACTTCAAAGCTCTTAATGTCTTTTGAAACATCAGTAGGCGAGTCTGGTGTTTAAGTCAACCACAAATCCTTCTTGCAAAAAATGTAGAATAATAATGGTGAGCCAAGGTAGTAGTTGGGAATAAGCTTATATGATTTTAATTGTTATAAATTGCCACATTTGTCCCTAAATTAAATCGACAAAAAGTCAAGAAGTCTGTTTGGTGTTTAGTCCAAAAATAATTTTTCAGTCGATTTCATTTTTACTCTATCTCATCCCAGCCAGTTGAACGGTGATAACTTTTATTCTGGATTGTCAAGAAAAAGACAACGGCACGTCGTTAACTTGCACAATGTTTGAGCATCATATCTTGGATGCTTATTGGTGCTGGAACCCCGAGCAGCACAACGAGTTAGGTTATTTAATGTGCAGAAAAATTGATCAATGGTGTAGTTTCTTGTCGTTAAAGGTAAAACAGCCGGCATCGTTCACTACGCTGAAGATAACCGGTCGAAGATTCAGAGAAACTCGCAAAAGTCACGTACGCCACATTGTGTCTACGTGACTTTTGCCAGAACCGACGCTCAGGCGACAGCCGCGTACGTGATTTTTGCGAGATTCCGTAACGTTACCATCATGAGACACGCCCCCATGGCTGAGCTGTGCAGCCAGTACATAAGCGAGTCTGGACCAGTCACAAATGTGTTTGCTGATTGACCATTTTTGGTCAAAGATCCACGACTACGCCTTCTCATATATGTATGTATGTATGTATTTATCTGATGATATCAGAGTCAAGTGATTCGTTTGTCTACATCAAGCAGTTGATGAACTTTTTAATATGCTTACTGCTTGATTTTTCCTAGTTTTGATTTTTTGGGAAGACAACTATAGCTCAACTATAGCTTGGACCTTCATTGCTATCAACAACAAAGCAGTGGCTTCTTGTCTATCCGCTAGTCTAGTCCTCTATCTCGAGCTGTGATAGTAATATCTCTCTCAGTATTGACTTATTAACCCCACCTGAAATTTTAAATTCAATTTAA